GTTCGATTCCCTTTGTTGCCCGGTTAAACTTACTTCAGCACTATGCACCCTAAGCGGAGAGTCGTAGGTTCGATTCCCTTTTGTTGTCTGGTTACACGTTTTTCAGCGCTATGCATCATTAGCGGTGGGTCGTAGACTCGATTCCCTTTTTTGTCTGGTTAAACTTACTTCAGCGCTATGCATCGTTAGCGGCGGGTCGTAGGTTCGATTCCCTTTCGTTGCCCGGTAAAACTTACTTCAGCACTATGCACCCTTAGCGGCGGGTCGTAGGTTCGATTCTCTTTTGTTGTCTGGTTACACGTTTTTCAGCGCTATGCGACCTAAGCGGCGGGTCTTAGGTTCGATTCCTTCGAGATCAAGTTATCTCATTTGAGGGCTAGGACTCTGTAACATAATCCTAACCAAAGCGTTAGTCGAGGTTGGGATGTTCGGAATCTTTACCCGAAACTGAGTTAACCCGATCTCGCACAGTTACAGGAAAATGTTTTTTTAGTCCGAAAAACCATTCGAATTCGCTTAAGTCTACAAGTACCCCTTCTTTCCTCAAATAATATGGCCTATGCACTGCTTCAGCTTCGTTTGAATGCTTCCGCGTAGAAAATGAAGTCCGTCCTTGCAAAGAAGACAACGCATTTCACAGTGTAGATTTTATCATTTATATTGCGGATTGTCAATTTCAAGCCGGAAGCACGCGGATGAATATATCGCTGTGTGAAAATTCCGCGAAATGTCAAGTAAAGATGCCGGACAGATTGGACAAGATAGAAAAAATTAGCACGGGGTATCACGTGGGATATCCCTATCTGAGGTGAGAGAGAAAAAGGAAACAAAGGAGGTTGTAGAAAGTGGACGGAGGTGGGTTCAACGTATTACGATACTTTTGAAACGAACCCTGACCTTTTGACTGTTCAAAAGTCGCATATAATTTATTTTGGCTTTTCTGAATTCTTTTACTTTCTTAAAAACTTACATATACAAAAATATAGTCCGAAAACAATCTAAACTGTTTGATATACAATTATATTGAGGCAAGTAACAATAAAGGCTCCACACTTCTGGAAACATGCAACATCTGCCGTGAAACTGTAGTCGCAGTGTTTTAAATATTACATGTATGTACAATTTATGTCTGAATTTAATAAGCTCGATCATACTTTTATACCGGTATATCAATGTTCAACAGATGTTTTCTCACACGCTTCACCTCACAGTACCTAAATAACTATTAACTCTAATAAATTACAGCTCATTACATCACTCCCTAGGCGTCGGTTCGTATGTTCGATCTCCTTTTGTTTTAAGGTTTAAATTGTCTCAAAACTGGACTCCCATTGCGTAGGCGGTGGGTCATCTGTAAAATGTCAGAGTTTGGTAGTGAGGTGATCATTATTGTCAAACTGTAGGTAAATGTCATAGAGTTTGGTAGTGAGTTGATCAATATTGTAAAACTTAAGATAAATGTTACAAGCGCGAAAAAAGAGGGTAAACTTAGTTCTTGATTTTCCCCCCATTTTTGTTTTATGGACAAACATACTGAATAAAAAGTATTGTTAAATGTTTGATCTAAGTTGATCCCCCCCCCCCCCCCCCCCCCCCCATATTTTGACAATAAAACGCCTTTGTTATTTTTAATGTCTACTAAACTGTCAATATTTTAGTAAGGAATTTATAGATTAACCGTGCTGCCTTTTCTTGTTAGAAAATTTCTAAAACATATTTTCGTTACAAATAACCCCATAAACGTGTCTAATAAACAACAACGAACGCCGTAAACGTGACTGGTGAGTGGACTCGGGGTTCTCCTCAAGAAGCTGTCTTCCGACATGTGCATGCTGACACGTGTGCATATTCCCACACGTGAGCATCCGTTGGGATGGGTTGAGTTTGATGAAACGTTAAATAGCCCCGATGGGCTGGTCATCTACTAGACGTGGCTGTTACAGTCCTGTGGAAGCACAGTCTAAACTAAAACGTAAGTATGTCTTGTAACGTAACACTTGGGCACGGTTCGATCATTTCATCTTACAGCACAGGGGCACGGTTCGATCATTTCATCTTTTATTTACTGGCTGCAGTTCCGATACGGACAAAAAAAATGCAATATTTCCCATAATTGCTAAGTAGCATTCATTTTACTGAAATAATTTCGTTTTGTTAAAATAAAATATGTATTTGAGTATAGCATACACAATTTATTTCGTATATAGGGAAGTTAGACAAACAAAATGACCTTATATTGCCCCTCCAGCCGAGTAGTTTCAGGAGAGCTGATATTCTAGACAGAGTTCGACTTCTGATCTCTATACTCTTGTCGTTGTACGATGTCTTTACAGACGTCGTATATACGTTTTGTATTAAATTTGTTTTTCAAATACAATTTACATAGCATTTTTTAGCTTTCCTTGGTCGACTCGGCTAGACCTAATGTTTTGGTTTCCATTGACGGACTCGTTAAGACCTGGCATTCGTATGATTTCCTTTGTCAACTTAGCAAGAGATGTGTTGTGAAATGATTTTGAATATATGATGCATTAATGTATTTCCAACAACGTCATTGGTTACATCATAATCACGTAGAGGTCGATGATTTGCGGTATTGACTCCGAGTTACTATTTTCAGAAACATAAGATTAATATTTTCTTTATGACATCACTTTAATTATAACGTCACAATGTTGTTTGCCAAACGCAACACTTTTCTCTTATGCCTCCGCTTCACCTTGTTTGATGGTAAAACATTATAATTACATGTCTAACATAACAATTCAGGGCTTTTGTTTCGGTGAATATTTTGTTATATGGAGCTAATAATATTCCCCTCCACACAAGTCCATGTTTGATCAATAATGAGTAAATCGCCAAACAGCAAGTCGACAAGTCGAACTAGTTCTATCTGTTAACTAAACACTAATCTTGTGATTGGTTAGTTTGTTATGATTGTAAATTATAGACAGAATGCTACAACAAAATAGACGTAAAGGCAACGTTTGTATATAATCTCAACATCTCTCCTGTCTCCTAGATGATGACATTACTGACGCTGTTGCTATCGGTGACCATGGTCATGGCCGGCTATTATGACGGGTAAGTCTCAGTTTGGACAATGTGAAAGTCCAGTAAATGATGATAAAGTCATTTCTGTTCTCACTGTCAATGTAAAACTCCTCTCCTTTGTAGGTATTCCTATTTTATATCCTCTCTTAACTGTGTATCGACATGCTGACTTGTTGTTTGGTACTTTTTCTATTTGCTTGTATTCGCATCTTGCTCAGTATTTTTGTTTTTTGACATGTTTTTCTCTCTTCGTACATTTTCACGTTTTGTTTACTTTCCCGTCATGTACATATTGCATTGATAACAACACTAATTAAAACTAAAGCAAAATCCTAGATTAGCCAAAACGTGGCTTCGGTACAGTGACATTGAATAAACAATATTAGGCTCTTGGAATGGCTTAAAAGCATTCTAAAGTTGGAGATATTGGCCTTTGTTTCATTTTAGATATGGAAAAAAGTTAATGTCAGTACTAAGAAGCAATATTGGTTTTTGTCTAATCGGTTGAGATAAGGTATCTGTACTTTTATCTTTCATCAAATAGTATAATTTCTATCACACAAGAAAATGTATCAACCCTCGAAGTTAGCAAACAGGACAGATTTTAAGTCAAAATTGACGGTTTACCCATTTCTGTCGTTGATTCCAATCATTTGATATTCTTGTCTGTGCGCTCTACTCTGACTGAACACACTACAATTTTGGTTCGATTTATCGACAAATGTTTACAAGCTTCGATCGTGAAAATGTCATATCTTAAGGATGTGAGTGCGAGGAGGCAGAGCAACAAACATTACTATTTTCTTCATACTTTTTTTGTTTGAATTCTAAAACATTCCCAGAAAAGTTGTTATACATGGTTGATTTCACATAATGAATTAGAAGTTATACAACTCTTTGACCATATAGTTAAATCTATATCCTACCACTCTGTACCACCGGGGAAGATAAAATATTTAACAAGTTTAGTTCTCGGGCAAAAAAAAAGTTCTTGTAACTGTTTGGCCAAACATTGTGCGAGCGAGGTTTTGGCAATCCGGAATTCGTCTTTTCTTTCATGATATCTTAACCAACATGATATTTTTGGTAAGAAAAATGTATATAATCTTTTCTCTCGGTTACTTTTAAAATATATGTTGCATACATAAGTACATCGTTTAATTTGGCCTTTCAAATCGTACTGGTCAGCCCTGTTTGTCTGTTTTGAAGGTTGATAATGATACCACTTTTACACACCTATACCACGTTTACACACCTATATCACGTTTACACACCTATACCACGTTGACACACCTATACCACGTTCACACACCTATACCACGTTTAAACACCTATACCACGTTTACACACCTATACCACGTTTACACACCTAAACCACGTTTACACACATATATCACGTTTACACACATATACCACGTTCACACACCATACCACGTTTACACACCTATGCCACGTTTACACACCTATACCACGTTCACACACCTATACCACGTTGACACACCTATACCACGTTAACACACCTATACCACGTTTACACACATATACCACGTTTACACACCTATACCACGTATACACACCTATACCACGTATACACACCTATACCACGTTCACACACATATACCACGTTTACACACCTATACCACGTTTACAAACCTATACCATGTTTACACACCTATACCACGTTCACACACCTATACCACGTTCACACACATATACCACGTTCATCCACATATACCACATTTACATTGTTTTGTCCATATCATACATTGTTTTGTCCATATCATACGTTGGTTTTTCCCTATCTTACGTTGGTTTCTCCCTATCTTACGTTGCTTTGTCCCTATCATAAGTTGTTTTGTTCCTATCTTACGTTGGTTTCTCCCTATCTTACGTTGTTTTGTCCCTATCATACGTTGTTTTGTCCCTATCATACGTTGTTTTGTCTCTTTCACATCACACGTTCGTTTATCACTATCGCCAGTGCTTTGTAAACTGTCTCAATTTTATCCACACTCACATTCACCTGACTAATTTCCTGTCTGAATTTATCCACTCCCACACTCGTTTGTGGGGTTCTTACGCTTTCTCCATACGTGTTTTACCATTATCATTTTACATGTCGTAAATTGACTAAAGAGCTGTATCTATATGATCAAATCAGTTTAACTTCACTTCGGTTGACACCGCTTATCTATCATATCACAGTTTAATCAAGTTAACCTTATACATAGACCTGCAGCTTAGTAGAGTGTCCTATTCGTTATGACGATTTGTCTTACAGACACCAGGTCCTTCGTGTGTTGCCTAAGCTACAAAGTGATGTGCATGCTGTGGTTGCGCTTGGAGAGGAACTCGGGGTAATAAATTATCATAATTACCATTGAAATATCTAGATTTTTTCGTCTGAAAAAGAAAAGGAAAAAATATCACCTCAATTGCAAAAATCAAAATGATATTTTTCAATAGTGAAAGTACCTCTCTCGGATTTTATCTCATGAAAATACAAAATCGATAAGCATATTAACCAAGAAGAGGTCTTGCTCGGTATTGGCATTGATTTGGACGTCATTTAAATTCAACGTCATAAACTGAGATCTCCCCACAATTTAAAACGATTTTTATATTCTGATGCTCGTGAAATATTAATGATATTTAACGAGAAACCAATGCGTACGCTGTTTATTACACCTGTGAGAATTTGTCCCAGTATAAAAGTAATGTGACAATAAATTGTTTTGTCTCACATTGATGGATAAATGCTATGTCCCGGGGAATAGATTTTTCACCGGGCCATAGTTTCAGGATTATGTCCCTGTTATGACGAACCAATCAGAACTTAACGCTGAGACCAAATGTCAATCGACCCGCAATATCATGTCATCACAGAAATCAGGTGAGAGACGGACCTCTCAGCTTTATCGATCACCGCTGACTATAGCCACAGATCTCGGTATGGCGTGACTTTTCACCTTTTACTTATACACGCATTAATACGGTTTGATAGGTGTGATAAATACTTAAATTAAGCAATTTTCGGATAAAGATTCTTGAAAGTTTCAGTTTAACATTGACCAAGGAAAAAGTTATATGGTGACTATTATTCGCACGGTGACTGTAAGTCACGATTCGATATAAATAGTCATTAATCATAGCGCCTTCGTATTAATATTTCAGTCATAAATTAAGTGATAGAAATATTTGCGTCATTTTTCTTCGGATGAAAAATGTTTGCTTCCATGATGTTGTCCGAAGTACGTTAAATATTATCAAATAGGCTCAAGGTATAAAGTCATTTCATTTTCATTGAAAGGTAAACTATTTCGCGGGTTCCCAGTACCTTTGTATACAAACTGTATTACTATGCTGATTCAAACCAAATCTGTAGACCATGCTTGTTTTGACATTTCCTTGATTGTGTGTGAACACATGTTGAACACCTCAAAGACCAGATCAAAAGAATAAAAAAAACTTGCTTGAATATATATATCCCAAAATAACAAGAATTTAAAAATCAGTACCCCAAGCCCTAAGTCAAAAATTACTATACCGTTAATGTTTCAATCGTTCAATCAAACTGAGAGGTCAAGGTCGAAAACTATGCTGTGTTCTAGTTGGTATTGACCCCTTTGTATACTGTGGTCTAGGTGGCATTGACCCCTTGGTATGCTGTGGTCTAGGTGTTATTGACCCTTGATATGATGTGTTCTAGTTGGTATTAACCCTTGGTATGCTGTGGTCTAGGTGGTATTGACGCCTTGGTATGCTGTGGTCTAGGTGTTATTGACCCTTGGTATGCTGTGTTCTAGGTGGTATTAACCCTTGGTATTCTGTTGTCTATGTGTTATTAGCCTTCGGTATGCTGTTGTCTATGTGGTATTGACACTTGGTATTCTGTGGTCTAGGTGGTATTGACACTTTGTATGCTGTTGTCTTTGCGGTATTGACACTTGGTATGGTGTTGTCTTTGTGGTATTGCCACTTGGTATGCTGTGGTCTAGGTGTTATTGACCCTGGATATGATGTGTTCTAGTTGGTATTAACCCTTGGTATGCTGGTGTCTATGTGTTATTAACCTTTGGTATGCTGTTGTCTAGGTGGTATTGACACTTGGTATGCTGTTGTCTAGGTGGTATTGACGCCTTGGTATGCTGTTGTCTATGTGTTATTGACCCTTGGTATGCTGATATCTAGGTGTTATGAACCCTTGGTATGCTGTTGTCTATGTGACATTGACCCTTGGTATGCTGTGGTCTATGTGATATTGACCCTTGGTATGCTGTGGTCTATGTGATATTGACCCTTGGTATGCTGTTGTCTAGGTGGTATTGACCCCTTGGTATGCTGTTGTCTAGGTGGTATTGACACTTGGTATGCTGTGGTCTAGGTGGTGTTGACACTTGGTATGCTGTGGTCTAGGTGGTATTGACTCTTGGTATGCTGTGGTCTAGGTGGTATTGACACTTGGTATGCTGTGGTCCAGGTGTTATTGACACTTGGTATGCTGTTGTCTAGGTGTTATTGACCCTTGGTATGCTGTTGTCTAGGTGGTATTGACACTTGGTATGCTGTTGTCTAGGTGGTATTGACACTTGATATGCTGTTGTCTAGGTGGTATTGACCCCTTGATATGCTGTGGTCTATGTGTTATTGACCCTTGGTATGCTGTGCTCTATGTGTTATTGACCCTTGGTATGCTGTTGTCTAGGTGGTATTGACACTTGGTATGCTGTTTTCTAGGTGGTATTGACACTTGGTATGCTGTTGTCTAGGTGGTATTGACACTTGGTATGATGTGGTCTATGTGGTATTGTCACTTGGTATGATGTTGTCTAGGTGATATTGACCCTTGGTATGCTGCTGTCTAGGTAGTATAGACCCTTGGTATGCTGTTGTCTAGGTGGTATTGACACTTGGTATGCTGTTGTCTAGGTGTTATTGACACTTGGTATGCTGTTGTCTATGTGGTATTGACACTTGGTATGCTGTGGTCTAGGTGGTATTGACGTGCACTTGGTATGCTGTGGTCTAGGTGGTATTGACACTTGGTATGCTCTGTTCTAGGTTGACTTCTGGCACTATCCCCACTCAGCTAACGACAGTTTCCATGTACGAGTATCGCCACAAGTGTTTGACCCGTTCATGACTGTAATGAGGAGCTTAGGTCTGGAAGTCACAGTGATGATGGACAATGTACAAGAGTAAGTTAAACATACCTTTATGTCGGTAGAAATATCGTATGTTAAGTGATGTAGCATAACAAAAGCTATCTTTAACCTCAGATCGGTACCGCATATGAACAATCTAAATTAATCTGTTCACTACGCAAATATGTCGGGTAAACGTATTCTTCCGTTCTTAATATTTTCAAGACAATTTAAAAAAATGAAGAGTAATTACAATTAAATGGAATCGAAAACTTTACAGACATAAATATGTACGATCGGATGCTATACAGGCATGTTGACCGCGAAAAGGCAAGCATACGACGCAGGCGCAGTACAGCTTCGGGATCAAGAAACATAAATTTTGAAACGTACCACACCCTGAATGAGGTAAGCTATTTAGGATAATTTTGTTTTGTTTGTTGTTTGTTTGTTTTCCTATTTAACTTTATCCAAAGTAGGCCTAGCGACTAAACGTTTGATTTAACCACACTGAAAATTTCCACACAAAGTAGGCCTAGCGACTAAACGTTTGATTAAACCACACTGAATGTTTCCACACAAAGTAGACCTAGCGACTAAACGTTTGATTTAACCACACTAAAGCTTTCCACACAAAGTAGGCCTAGCGACTAAACGTTTGATTTAACCACACTAAAGATTTCCACACAAAGAAGGCCTATCGACTAAACGTTTGATTTAACCAAACTGAAGATTTCCACACAAAGTAGGCCTAGCGACTAAACGTTTGATTAAACCACACTGAATGTTTCCACACAAAGTAGACCTAGCGACTAAACGTTTGATTTAACCACACTACAGGTTTCCACACAAAGTAGGCCTAGCGACTAAACGTTTGATTTAACCACACTGAAGATTTCCACACAAAGAAGGCCTATCGACTAAACGTTTGATTTAACCACACTGAAGATTTCCACACAAAGTAGACCTAGCGACTAAACGTTTGATTTAACCACACTGAAAATTTCCACACAAAGTAGGCCTAGCGACTAAACGTCTGATTTAACCACACTGAAGATTTCCACAAAAAGTAGACCTAGCAACTAAACGTTTGATTTAACCACACCGAAGATTTCCACACTAAGTAGGCCTAGCGACTAAACGTTTGATTTAACCACACTGAAGATTTCCACACTAAGTAGGCCTAGCGACTAAACGTTTGATTTAGCCACACTGAAGATTTCCACACTAAGTAGGCCTAGCGACTAAACGTCTGATTTAACCACACTGAAGATTTCCACAAAAAGTAGGCCTAGCGACTAAACGTTTGATTTAACCACACCGAAGATTTCCACACTAAGTAGGCCTAGCGACTAAACGTTTGATTTAACCACACTGAAGATTTCCACACCTGCTTCTCAGTCTTTATGTCTAGATGGTTTCGCTTAAAGTTAAATGGGACAATAGAAAAAGTCGCAAGTATATCAAACTGAATTTCAGTCTTTGGTTCGTTGGTTGGTTGGTTGACGAGTTTTTGCCTGCATGACTCCACCCTTACGGGTTTCGTCTCACTGACATCGTTGGTAAAGGATGTGTCGCTAGCTGTATCGCATCGAGATGTCTAGTACGGCACGGAAGTAGGGAGAGGGCGTGTCTACCACATCCAGACTGTCCTGCGACCCTAGCCGACAACTGGATTCAGCATTTCCATATGACCAGAGAACTACGTAGCCATTGCCTCTTGTCTAAATTACATTTAATTCAATATTAAGATTTTTAAAATGCACACCGACCATTATAGAAACTTTGAAATCGGCAATCGACATTATTTTTACATATCACTAGAAATAACAACGAATCACGCACTTGTTTGAACATTTTAGTTAGTCGATAAAGAAAGTCAAACAACGCTAACATGGTGACTGTACCATATGTAAACGGTACCATATGTTTAACTGTATATTTTGTTATTTGTACCATATGTTAACTGTTCCACATGTTAAATGTACCACATGTTAACTGTTCCACATGTTAAATGTACCACATGTTAACTGTACCATATGTTAACTGTACCACATGTTAACTGTACCATATATAAACTGTATGTTAACTGTATCACATGCTAAATGTACAACATGTTAACTGTACCACATGTTGACTGTACCATATATTAAATGTCCAACATGTTAACTGTTCCATCTGTTAACTGTATCGCATGTTAACTGTACCACATGTTAACTGTACCATATATAAACTGTATGTTAATTGTATCACATGTTAAATGTACAACATGTTAACTGTACCATATGTTGACTGTACCATATGTTAAATTTTTCAACATGTTAACTGTTCCATCTGTTAACTGTATCGCATGTTAACTGTATCACATACTACCTGTACCACATGTTAACTGTACCACATGGTAAATGTACCATATACTAACTGTACCATATATACACTGTATGTTAACTGTATCACATGTTAACTGTACCACATGTTTACTGTACCATATGTTGACTGTATCACATACTACCTTTACCACATGTTAACTGTACCACATGGTAAATGTACCATATACTAACTGTACCATATATAAACTGTATGTTAACTGTATCACATGTTAACTGTACCACATGTTAACTGTACCATATGTTGACTGTACCATATGTTAAATGTACAACATGTTAACTGTACCACATGTTAACTCAACCACATGGTAACTGTACCATATATTAACTGTATGTTAACTGTATCACATGTTAAATGTACAACATGTTAACTGTACCATATGTTAAATGTACAACATGTTAACTGTATCACATACTAACTGTACCATACGTTAACTGTACCACATGTTAAATGTACAACATGTTAACTGTACCATATAAAAACTGTATGTTAACTGTATCACATGTTAAATGTACAACATGTTAACTGTATCACATGTTAAATGTACCACATGTTAACTGTACCACATGTTGACTGTACCATATGTTAAATGTACAACATGTTAACTGTACCATCTGTTAACTGTATCGCATGTTAACTGTACCATATATTAACTGTACAACATGTTAACTGTACCATCTGTTAACTGTACCACATGTTAACTGTACTTGTTAACTATACCAAATGTTAACTTTACCACATGTTACCTGTACCACATGTTAACTGTACCACAAACTAACTGTACCATATGTTAAATGTACAACATGTTAATTGTACCACTTGTTAACTATACCAAATGCTAATTGTACCATCTGTTAACTGTATCGCATGTTAACCGTATCACATACTAACTGTACCACATGTTAACTGTACCATATATTATCTGTAAGTTAACTGTATCACATGTTAAATGTATAACATGTTAACTGTACCATATGTTAAATGTACAACATGTTAACTGTACCACATGTTAACTGTATCGCATGTTAACCGTATCACATACTAACTGTACCACATGTTAACTGTACCATATATTAACTGTATGTTAACTGTATCACATGTTGACTGTACCACATGTCAACTGTACCACATGTTAACTATAACATCCGTTAACTGTACCACATGTTAACTGTATCGCATGTTAACGGTATTAACCCTTGGTATGCTGTTGTCTATGTGACATTGACAACAGCATATCTAGGTGTTATGAACCCTTGGTATGCTGTTGTCTATGTGACATTGACAACAGCATATCTAGGTGTTATGAACCCTTGGTATGCTGTTGTCTATGTGACATTGACAACAGCATACCAAGGGTTCATAACACCTAGATATGCTGTTGTCAATGTCACATAGACAACAGCATACCAAGTGTCAATACCACCGTCGCTAGGCCTACTTAGTGTGGAAATCTTCAGTGTGGCTAAATCAAACGTTTAGACATGTTGTACATTTAACATGTGGTAACGTATGGTATAGTTAACATATGGTACAGTTAACGTATGGTATAGCTAGCATATGGTACAATTAACATTTGGCTCATTTAACATGTGGTACAGTTAACGTATTGTATAGTTAACATGTGGTACAGTCAACATATGGGACAGTCAACATATGGTACAGTTAACATATGGTACAGTTAACATATCGTATAGTTAACATATGGTACAGTTAACATGTAGTACATTTAACATGTGATAAAGTTAACATACAGTTAATATATGGTACAGTTACCATGTGGTACAGTTAGCATGTGGTACAGTTCACGTATGGTATAGTTAACATGTGGTACGGTTAACATGTGGTATAGTTAACAGATGGTACAGTCAACATGTGATACAGTTAACATGTGGTACAGTTGACATGTGGTACAGTCAACATGTGATACAGTTAACATGTGGTACAGTAAGTATGTGATACAGTTAACGTGTGGTGCAGTTAGCATATGATACAGTCAACATATGGTACAGTTAACATGTGGTACAGGTAACGTATGGTATAGTTAACATATGGTACAGTTAACGTATGGTATAGTTAGCATATGGTACAATTAACATTTGGTACAGTTAACATGTGGTACAGTCAACATGTGGTACAGGTAGTATGTGATACGGTGAACAGGCGATACAGTTAACAGATGGTACAATTATGGTACAGTTAACATATGGTACAGTTAACATGTGGTACAGGTAACGTATGGTATAGTTAACATATGGTACAATTAACATTTGGTACAGTTAACATGTTGTACAGTTAATACGTATGGTATAGTTAACATGTGGTACGGTTAACAGATGGTACAGTTAACGTATGGTATATTTAACATATGGTACAGTTAACATGTAGTACATTTAACATGTGATAAAGTTAACATACAGTTAATATATGGTACAGTTACCATGTGGTTGAGTTAACATGTGGTACAGTTAACGGATGTTATAGTTAACATGTGGTACAGTTAACTGTACCACATGTTAACTGTACCACATGTTGACTGTACCATATGTTGACCGTACCATATGTTGACTGTACCATATGTTAACTGTACCACATGTTGACTGTACCACATGTTGACTGTACCATATGTTGACTGTACCACATGTTAACTTTACCACTTGTTAACTGTACCACATGTTGACTGTACCATATGTTGACTGTACCATATGTTGACTGTACCACATGTTAACTTTACTACTTGTTAACGAACCACTTGTAAACGAACCACATGTAAACGGTACTAAATACAGCATAGTGCAATAGACCATTTCACTTTAACTACATATGTGACGTCATCCCATATTGTGACGTCAATTACACTGCTCCTTTAGATTCAGCAGTTTTATGGGTTCTTAAAGAATTCATGTAATTGTTAAATCCAATATCAAGTTTAATACACATCAAAATATAGGTTTTTGGAAAATATAAACGCAAGTTATCAACGTATTGAGACCAACCTGATGAATAGTGTAAATGTAAACTCTGCGTATGACGAATGAACAATTCGGGAACGTCTGTGGGTGACAAATTCAGAGTACTAACCAACCACAAGTAACGGTATAAACCGTACTGGAACGACACACGTCAGGACAAGTGGGATTCTTCGTGCGTAAATAAACGCGAGTGGCTAGAGTGTTCTGACACACATAAAACTAAAAAGGCTATGCATGAACGAGCTTTTTTTTTGTATGTAACGTAATATGAAGCGTCAATACCAAGCGAAACAATTAAAGGAACTACAAAAAAGCTAGAACAACCCAACTCGAGGGATTTCTGGCGGGATATCGGTAAAATTTGGATTGTAAATTATCGAATTCCCGCAATACCCATGGAAGTCAGGGATAGTGAGGAAACACATTTTAAGTTCTTTGCTACCTTGAGTCTTTCAACTAATTGGTTTCACAATTAGCGACACTAATCTCGTGTTTGAACGTTGGAGATCAGACTATGAAAACTTCACAGGACAGACGGATCAGATCATTTATTTGCTGACGCTCATCTCCGATTGGTACAAGAGTACGTGCCAATATACATATACAGCGCTAAGAAATCGAAAACGCTAGATAATTTCAGAGAACGAAATTAGGTAAAGCTTCAGGAGTAGGTGGTAAACCCGCCGAGGTCTTGAAAAACATCAAATGCGGGGATAATATGTAGTCTTAACTACTCATTGCTTTGACCACGAAGTCGTCCCGAATAAGTGGGAAAAGGGCATAATTCACTCGATTGTAAACCCGAACAGCAAGGACCACGGAAACCCGTTGACATATCGTGGTATAACTTTGCTTTCCGTACCTTGTCAAGTGTATTGTGACATGCTCCACCGGCGACTTGGCACCTGGCTTGAAAAGAACAACATCCTCCATGACGCGCAAAATAGATTTTGTAAGGAGAGGAATTGACAGGACCATGTGTATTCTTTATAAAGTTGTGAAGAATAGAATAAACGTGCAGCAATCTATATACTCTTGTTTCATCGATCTTCGCAAACAAAACAAAGTTTTAATTGAACCATATAAAAAGAATGAAAGTCCACCAGAGCGTTTCAGTATGACGTACAGTAAGGTTTGTTTTCATTAGAAAACACAACTCATGTCGTGATATACCTACTCCCAGCGAATCTTCAGCTGAAGAAACACTGGGTAGTGAAATTCTAACAATAAGGATGTAATACAAATATACATTTAATTTGAACAAAACATTGAATTTTATTTAATAAATTAATATTTTTTCCAAAGAGCTTAACTAATCCAAATTGCTAGATATAAACATTGGCCTGTTTTAAGTTAACAGTTAAAGCTAGCAATATCTTATGACTTTAACATGAAGTACCTTTCATATAATTCGTCGATTTCAATTGTAATTCATTTGGCTATGAATGCATACAGAAAGCCATCCAATGCTTATATAACCTCCATTATAGTCGGGAACTCTTCAATATTCCTTGTGTTTTACTAGATCGAAAGTTATGTGGACGGGCTGGCGTCCACAGGGAATGTTGAGGTATCCGTTGAGAAACTCGAACCAGCCACTGTAGAGTTTAGAAACCTTCGCCTCGTCAAAGTAAGTATATATCGGGGCACTAGGTGTTCAAACAATGAACACCTCAATCTTTAGACACCTAAACATCTACAACACGATCAGAACCAGGTGTTCAAACATTTAACACCTCAATCTCTACACCACGATCAGAACCAGGTGTTCAAACATTTAACACCCGAATCTCTACACCAACATCAGAACCAGGTGTTCAAACATTAGACACTTTAATATCTACAACACGATCAGAACCAGGTGTTCAATCATTAGACAATCAATCTCTACAACACGATCATAACCAGGTGTTCAAACATTAGACACTTTAATATCTACAACACGATCAGAACCAGGTGTTCAAACATTAGACAATCAATCTCTACACCACGATCATAACCAGGTGTTCAAACATTAGACACCTCGATCTCTACAACACCATCAGAACCAGGTGTTCAAACATTAGACACCTCAATCTCTACAACACCATCAGAACCAGGTGTTCAAACATTAGACACTTCAATCTCTACAACACCATCAGAACCAGGTGTTCAAACATTGGACACTTTACTATCTACAACACGATCAGAACCAGGTGTTCAATCATTAGACAATCAATCTCTACACCACGATCATAACCAGGTGTTCAAACATTAGACACTTTAATATCCACAACACGATCAGAACCAGGTGTTCAAACATTAGACAATCAATCTCTACACCACGATCATAACCAGGTGTTCAAACATTAGACACCTCGATCTTCACAACACGATCAGAACCAGGTGTTCAAACATTAGACACTTTAATATCTACAACACGATCAGAACCAGGTGTTCAATCATTAGACAATCAATCTCTACAACACGATCATAACCAGGTGTTCAAACATTAGACACTTTAATATCTACAACACCATCAGAACCAGGTGTTCAAACATTAGACACCTCAATCTCTACAACACCATCAGAAACAGGTGTTCAAACATTAGACACTTCAATCTCTACAACACCATCAGAACCAGGTGTTCAAACATTAGACACCTCAACATTTACACCACGATCATAACCAGGTGTTCAAACATAAGACACTTTAATATCTACAACACGATCAGAACCAGGTGTTCAAACATTAGACAATCAATCTCTACACCACGATCATAACCAGGTGTTCAAACATTAGACACCTCAATCTTCACAACACGATCAGAACCAGGTGTTCAAACATTAGACACCTCAACATTTACAACACGATCAGAACCAGGTGTTCAAACATTAGACACTCCAATCTCTACAACACGATCAAAACTAGGTGTTCAAACACTAGACACTCAATCTCTACAACACGATCATAACCAGCTGTTCAAACGTTAGACACCTCGATGTTTACACCACGATCATAACCAGCTGTTCAAACGTTAGACACCTCGATGTTTACACCACGCCTAGAATCAGGTGTTAAAACATTAGACAACTCAAACTTAACAACACGCCTAGAACCAGTTGTGTATCGGTAACACCGTCTTAACGAAATACGATGTATAGCTGTTGTACATCGGAAATCGAAATTCATGTACATGTATTTTACCTTCACAGTGTACTTTTGATGTAGTTAAAGTATTTATTACAAAATTAATGTATTTTTAAAAACTTTTGCTCGTGTAATTTACATATCAGCGTATTTACAAAAAATGTATGCATAAATAGTTTTTATCTATACAGGTCATAAGTTACCTCTGTCTATATGTACGTAAGCTCTACAGCACAAAACATTTTATTTGATGACAGATTTCGCGAAGTGACAGTACAGCCACAGAGTCCATCTTCGTAGATTGTGGAATCCATGCCAGAGAATGGGTAACCCCTGCTTTCTGCCTCTACCTCATCGAAAAAGTAAGTTTAATAGGTTAAAGTCGGCTATTCTGATAGCACTTCTTACTGCGTTCGACTTTAAAGACATCAGAAACACATTCGAATGTTAGATCTATCAATCTACCAGGACGACAAGTACGTGGTAGATTGTGGACATACTAGTATTTATGATCACAATCAGTCATTGATATCTGATTAGCGAGCTTTCGTTGTGTGTATATGGAAAGGAATATAGAAATAGAAAGATGGTAACTAGAGTGGCCATGGTTGATAGGATAATACAGTGGAAACGGGTTACTAAGATGGTAACTACAGTAGCCTTGGTTGATAGGATAATACAGTGGAAGCGGGTTACTAAGATGGTAACTACAGTAGGCATGGTTGATAGGATAATACAGTGGAAGTGGGTTACTAAGATTGTAACTACAGTAGCCATGGTTGATAGGATAATACAGTGTAAGCGGGTTACTAAGATTGTAACTGCAGTAGGCATGGTTGATAGGATAAAACAGTGGAAGCGGGTTACTAAGATGGTAACTACAGTAGGCATGGTTGATAGGATAATACAGTGGAAGCGGGTTACTAAGATGGTAACTACAGTAGGCATGGTTGATAGGATAATACAGTGGAAGCGGGTTACTAAGATGGTAACTACAGTAGGCATGGTTGATAGGATAATACAGTGGAAGCGGGTTACTAAGATGGTAACTACAGTAGGCATGGTTGATAGGATAATACAGTGGAAGCGGGTTACTAAGATGGTAACTACAGTAGGCATGGTTGATAGGATAATACAGTGGAAGCGGGTTACTAAGATGGTAACTACAGTAGGCATGGTTGATAGGATAATACAGTGGAAGCGGGTTACTAAGATGGTAACTACAGTAGGCATGGTTGATAGGATAATACAGTGGAAGCGGGTTACTAAGATGGTAACTACAGTAGGCATGGTTGATAGGATAATACAGTGGAAGCGGGTTACTAAGATGGTAACTACAGTAGGCATGGTTGATAGGATAATACAGTGGAAGCGGGTTACTAAGATGGTAACTACAGTAGGCATGGTTGATAGGATAAAACAGTGGAAGCGGGTTACTAAGATGGTAACTACAGTAGGCATGGTTGATAGGATAATACAGTGGAAGCGGGTTACTAAGATGGTAACTACAGTAGGCATGGTTGATAGGATAATACAGTGGAAGCGGGTTACTAAGATGGTAACTACAGTAGGCATGGTTGATAGGATAATACAGTGGAAGCGGGTTACTAAGATGGTAACTACAGTAGGCATGGTTGATAGGATAATACAGTGGAAGCGGGTTACTAAGATGGTAACTACAGTAGGCATGGTTGATAGGATAATACAGTGGAAGCGGGTTACTAAGATGGTAACTACAGTAGGCATGGTTGATAGGATAATACAGTGGAAGCGGGTTACTAAGATGGTAACTACAGTAGGCATGGTTGATAGGATAATACAGTGGAAGCGGGTTACTAAGATGGTAACTACAGTAGGCATGGTTGATAGGATAATACAGTGGAAGCGGGTTACTAAGATGGTAACTACAGTAGGCATGGTTGATAGGATAATACAGTGGAAGCGGGTTACTAAGATGGTAACTACAGTAGGCATGGTTGATAGGATAAAACAGTGGAAGCGGGTTACTAAGATGGTAACTACAGTAGGCATGGTTGATAGGATAAAACAGTGGAAGCGGGTTACTAAGATGGTAACTACAGTAGGCATGGTTGATAGGATAAAACAGTGGAAGCGGGTTACTAAGATGGTAACTACAGTAGGCATGGTTGATAGGATAATACAGTGTAAGCGGGTTACTAAGATGGTTACTACAGTAGGCATGGTTGATAGGATAAAACAGTGGAAGCGGGTTACTAAGATGGTAACTACAGTAGGCATGGTTGATAGGATAAAACAGTGGAAGCGGGTTACTAAGATGGTAACTACAGCAGCCATGGTTGATAGGATAATACAGTTCCAGTGAATCTACATCGATGTATGAGTAAATAGAAAGTATACAGTGAACAACCAATTTTCTTCCTTTTATATATTTTAAACTTTAAATTAAGTAATGTGATTAGACCTTGAAACATTTTTATTCGTTTATGGCGTTCTTCATGTGTGCTAATTGACACACTGCTCATGGAGCCTGCCACCATCCCTTTGTTGTTTCATTAGACACAATGAATCCCGAATATGAACCAAACAATTGTTGTCATCAGACTGTTATCTCGCTTAAGCGTGAACAGAGCCATTTTTGAAACAGGTATCAATCCGCCGAGCTTTTTTTTCACTGCGTATACGCTTGAAGAAGGGAGATATTTAAAAAAAAACATTGTTGTGTGTATATGAATTTTCGCTGTGTGTATAAATGTTTAGAGTGGTAATCATTGATGACTTCAGCTGATGGAAGGCGACAACAAAGTTTTGGATATGTACGATTGGCTGATCATTCCTGTCGCTAATCCGGACGGTTACGCCTACTCGCATCAAGGAGAATCACAGGTAATCCACACATGTCCTCAGGTGCTGCTCCCGGGAATCTCTCCCATTGGAGTCCCGACAGAATGTAAGTCTTTGGTTGTGACTGCCTTTCGAGGTTTTTACATCCAATAAACTGTTTGGCTCCAGTAGATTTGGTCTCCATCCTATTGTTGGCTCCAGTAGATTTGGTCTCCATCCTATTGTTGGCTCCAGTAGATTTGGTCTCCATCCTATTGTTGGCTCCAGTAGATTTGGTCTCCATCCTATTGTTGGCTCCAGTAGATTTGGTCTCCATCCTATTGTTGGCTCCAGTAGATTTGGTCTCCATCCTATTGTTGGCTCCAGTAGATTTGGTCTCCATCCTATTGTTGGCTCCAGTAGATTTGGTCTCCATCCTATAGCTGGCTCCAATAGATTTGGTCTCCATCCTATAGCTGGCTCCAGTAGATTTGGTCTCCATTCTATTGTTGGCTTGGTCTATGTCAAGAATCGTTATCCTCTAAAAGTGGACTCCCTGTTGTTTATTTGGGTATTACCTTCTTATTGTGTTATTGTGTTATTGTGTTTTTGTGTTTTTTAATGTATTCAGTATGTCTAATAGCTCGGTGTTCTCACCAATAATAATATTCAGATATTTTCTGTACAACACGTAGTTGATATTTCTTATGAGACGTACAAACACAAATAAACAAATTATATGTCACAACAATACCAATATCTGGGGGTCGGTAGAGGATGGCTGGGGTATGGATGACAGCCTTACAGGAAATAACATTACCAACATCTAGGGGGTTGTAGAGGATGGCTGGGGTAGGGATGATAGCCTTACAGGGGCTAACAATACCGACATCTAGGGGGCTGTAGAGGATGGCTGGGGTAGGGATGACAGCCTTACATGGGCTAACAATCCCGACATCTGGGGGGTTGTAGGGGATGGCTGGGGGTAGGGGGTGGCAGCCTTACAGGGACTAACAATACCGACATCTAGGGGGTTGTAGGGGATGGCTGGGGTAGGGGGTGGCTGTGGTAGGGATAACAGCCTTACAGTGGCTAACAATACCGACATCTAGGGGGTTGTAGAGGATGGCTGGGGGTAGGGGGTGGCAGCCTTACAGGGACTAACAATACCGACATCTAGGGGGTTGTAGGGGATGGCTGGGGTAGGGGGGGGCTGTGGTAGGGATAACAGCCTTACAGGGCCTAACAATACTGACATCTAGGGGGTTGTAGAGGAGGGCGGGGGGTAGGGGGTGGCAGCCTTACAGGGACTAACAATCCCGACATCTAGGGGGTTGTAGGGGATGGCTAGGGAAGGGATGACAGCCTTACAGGGGCTAATAATACTCACATCTAGGGGGTTGTAGAGGAGGGCGGGGGGTAGGGGGTGGCAGCCTTACAGGGACTAACAATCCCGACATCTAGGGGGTTGTAGAGTATGGCTGGGGGTAGGGGGTGGCAGCCTTACAGGGACTAACAATACCAACATCTAGGGGGTTGTATGGGATGGCTGTGGTAGGGATGACAGCCTTACAAGGGCTAACAATACCGACATCTAGGGGGCTGTAGGGGATGGCTGGGGTAGGGATGGCAGCCTTACAGGGGCTAACAATCCCGACATCTAGGGGGTTGTAGAGGAGGGCGGGGGGTAGGGGGTGGCAGCCTTACAGGGACTAACAATCCCGACATCTAGGGGGTTGTAGGGGTTGGCTGGGGTAGGGGGTGGCTGGGGTAGGGATAACAGCCTTACAGTGGCTAAAAATACCGACATCTAGGGGGTTGGAGGGGATGGCTGGGGTAGGGGTGACAGCCTTACAGGGACTAACAATACCAACATCTAGGGGGATGTAGGGGATGGCTGGGGTAGGGATGACAGCCTTACAGGGGCTAACAATACTCACATCTAGGGGGTTGTAGAGGATGGCTAGGGTAGGGATGACAGCCTTACAGGGGCTAACAATACCGACATCTAGGGGGTTGTAGAGGATGGCTGGGATAGGGTGCCAGCCTTATAGGGCCTAACAATACTGACATCTAGGGGGTTGTAGAGGATGGCTGGTGTAGGGTGCCAGCCTTACAGGGACTAACAATACCAACATCTAGGGGGTTGTAGAGGATGGATAGGGGTAGGGGATGGCTGGGGTAGGGATAACAGCCTTACAGGGCCTAACAATACCAACATCTAGGGGGTTGTAGGGGATGGCTGGGGTAGGGATGACAGCCTTACGCGGGCTAACAATACCGACATCTAGGGGGTTGTAGGGGATGGCTGGGGTAGGGATGACAGCCTTACAGGGGTTAACAATACCGACATCTAGGGGGTTGTAGAGGATGGCTGGGGTAGGGATGACAGCCTTACAGGGGCTAACAATACCGACATCTAGGGGGTTGTAGAGGATGGCTGGGGTAGGGATGACAGCCTTACAGGGGCTAACAATACC